AAGCAAATAGATGCTTGGGAAAAGTTCTCAAGCATTCAAGGGTGAAATTTCAGACAAATAAATTGAGTGGTCACTTCAATAACTTAATTTGGGTGTGGGTTTTACTAGACTGTCCCTCCTCTGTGAGACTCTGGACTTTTCTCTGTGTGGATTTAGACTACCCCATGCCTGTGTATTTTTATTTATTTTATAGTCACGTGCTTTCTTCCTGAGCCATAGTTTGCTAAAGCAGAGTATCAATGAAGGGGGTGCAGGACAGACACGCCCCTCACATTTGCAACAACGTAAAAAGGGACTGGATCTGCTTGGCACAGAGCCACATGGCCAGGACCATTTGGTGACGTTGGGACATGACTATATCCCTGTCCCTGGCTGTCCTTGCTGCTACTCAGCCTGCAAAGACTCTAAGCCAGGAAGTGAGGAAAATGAGGATATGGTATATAGGCCTTGGGCTTTGCTACTGGATGTTTCCTGTCTTCTGGGGCCTTCTGGTTGTTGGTCCTCTACAGGTTGACCTCTCCAGGGATTTTTATAGTGCAGAGGTGAGCTGGCCCTTGAAATAGTCTATGGCTGGGAGCAAAGCACGGAAGACCTGAAGAAGGATCCAGGAGGCTGAACGAAACCTTGTCTAGGAGCAAATATAAATCGTTCTCTGTGTTGTGCTTCCTTCCATTATTCCCCAAATTTCAGCAAAGTCTTAACTATGTATGACTAAGTCTATTAGGATTGTGGGGGAATGAGGAAAGGGTCTGTGGCCAAAGGTGAAAGAGCCTGAGAAACTCACATGGTGCCTGGAGGATGCTGTCTGCTCCACAGTGGGGGGAAAAATGACTCCAAGAAGAGGGACTCATGGATCTGGAGACAAGCAAGAGCCAGTATGGAGCAGTGTGGGATGTGTATGCAGCCCTGGGAGTCCCAGAATGCCAGGGGCGGGAATAGGGGTACTGTAATTTGAACGGCAAAGAATGATGTGACTTTTTTTCTTTGGAGTCACAGGTAAATAGTGACTGGTCACATAGGTTGTACAGTTTTTAATTTTATAACTTTATTTCTGATAAAAAATGTAATCTATGCTAAGTGAAACAATCCTGAAAGCCTGATTCCAACTAGACTCTGGGAAAAGCAAAACTATGAAAACAGTAAAATGATCAGTGGTTGTGCTTTCAGGAGGAGGAAGGGAAGGATGAATAGATGGAATGGGATTTTTTGGGCAGTGAAACTATTTTTGTATGTCACTATAAGGGTGGCCACATGTAACATGTTCATTGTATCAAAATTTGCAAATAAAACTGAAAATGTCACTCTTACTTCCAACCCCCACTATTAACATTTAATTAAATAGCCTTCTAGGGGCGCCCGGGTGGCTCAATAGGTTAAGCGTCCAACTTTGTCCAACTTCGGCTCGGGTCATGATCTCATGGTTTGTGGGTTCGAGCCCCCCCCCCCCCCCCCCC